CATACATTTTTCAATTGAGACCTTGAACCTTTGAAGATCTAACTGCAAACCAATTAATTTGAAGCAGAGACACACAGATGCAATGACCCGGCTGATATTTTGGGTCAATATTAATGTCATTTACTTGTATCTGTATTTGCAGATACTTGCATGTCTGTTCCGATTCATTAGTGTGTTTAGCAGCCATGGCTGAAGACCACGGAAATCCCATGCATTGCTGCTCCCTCATTTGCTGTACAATTTGAGCAATAGGATGGATGAGTGATTGCTTTGAATCCCATCTGAAGGCTAACAATTTCTCTGAATATTTTCTGTTAAAGAAAACAAAACAATCTTGACACTACTTTACCTTGTTCTTCGTTAATAGTGACATTTTCACTTTATCGTATGGATGACATAAATAAAGCAGGGAAAATGCTACAGTAAAACCAGTTATTGATTTAATATTGTATATGTTTAATCTGCAGCTGTGCGTAGAGCATTTAAGGTAAACTGAATGGGCTGGTGGCTGCTCAGTGGCACAGTGGGTAGCACTGCTGCATTGCAGCAACAAGGTTCTGGGTTTGATTCCCAGCCCAGGGTCTTTCTGCTTGGAGTTTGTATGTTCTCCATGAGCATGCATGGGTTCTCTCTGGGTACTCCGGTTTTCTCCTACAGTCCAAAACCATGATGGTTAGGTTCATTGGCTTCTCTAAATTCTCCTTATGTGTGTGTGTGAATGGTTGTTTGTCTCTGTGTTGCCCTGTGATGGACTGGTGACCTGTCTAGGGTGTACCCCGCCTCTCACCCATAGACAGCTGGAGATAGTCACCATTTCCACCACGGCCCCGCTTTGGATAGGCATGATGGAAAATGGATGGATGAATGGGCTGAATATGAAATTCATGGAGGATTTTTTTTTTTTTTTTTTTTTATCTACGGCAAGATTTTGAACAATTAAGATTTTCCCGACATTAAAATGGATTACGTTCAATGACAAACAACTGTCTTTCAGTACAAGGTTTAATCTTATCCTGTACATATAATATTATTTTAGATACCCATGTTTGTAGACACAGCCATTGCTCAAAGTGCAGCAGGTTTTAGGTCTACAATAGTCATATAATACAAAACAGTCAAATCCCCGACATACTGGAAATGATAGACCTATATATACCATATTAATAACCTAAGAAAACACATGCATTTTATCTGCTTAATGTAAATATTGTTTGTTTAAGCTTTTTTGTTGTATTTTCTGACAGCAGGGCAAGATAAAGTCCAAGAATTATGTCAATGCAAATCTAAAAGAAAATATACCAAAAGCTGTTATAGATTTGAAACTGTTCAAGCTAGGCAGAAAGCCTAAACAGGGTTCAAATGGCCCAGTAAAAGCCTAAATATAAATTCTAAAAAGAATCATCCTTATAAAATCCTTCGACAAAATCTGATGCATGAGGTGAGGTTTTTCTTTTTGTAGAAATAAGAACGTTTAAAAAAAGTCTTTCTTTAGACATAAACACTATAATTGTATTTGGAAAAACAAATTTAAATGTTTGGATATACTGTATGAAGATGTGTGTAAAGGAAGGTTTATGAATGTTTATATGTACATAGATTAGTCTAGTGACTTAATGGACTCATGTGCAAAGTAGGACTTGAGAAGATTGCTGGTGTTAAGGACTAAAGGAAGGAGAAGAGAGAATGATTCATTTTCATTTCTTTAAACCCCTTTTCAAGCATAAGCAATAAATCATGCATATAATAAAATCATATATATTGTTAATTATTAATACATAAGTATGTTGTATGTATATATATTGTATGTGTTAAATTGTTATTTGTTATGAAATGCATTTATTCATTCATCTGACCACCATTTCTGGCGTAACTGATCTTTAAAGTCTCATCTCTTCTTTCCAAGTTCTTCCTGGGACTTTTTTCAGCGTCCTTGTCTATATTATCAGCCCATCAGAGCCTCGAGTGCAACAGTTAGACATCAAAGTGCCGACAGAGGGAAGGGAGGGGTGTTTGTCTCTATCGTCTGTCCCATCCCTTTTTGCAACAGCCATCGAGGGATTCCTGAAACATGCCACAAAGAGAGGGAGGAGGACGCTCTCACTCTCACTTTACACAGAGAAATCCAGTCAAGTTCTCCTAAGCTGTTCTCTGATACCCTGGAAGGGCCATCCAGAACAATTAGACCATTTTTCACTTACATGGAGATACTGTAGGTGCAACACTGCATTTGTTTGCTTTATCAAAACTACTTTTTAGAAGGTATGTTTTTTCTTTTTCAATTGTACAGTTTAAGAATACGAAAGCAGAAATTAAAGAGTGATTAATTGAACACTCTGATGTCAAAAACTGATCTCATTTTGGAGCTATTTTTTACATGAAAAGTTCTTGCGACGGTAGAGTCAGGTTGGCAGGACTTGGCATCTATAGTATTTGTATGAATTCAGAGAATCGCACCCTGACGTGGTTCTAAATGCTCGACTAGGCAGTTCATTTGAACCCTGGAGCACTTTGCCAGCAGTGTGAATGTGCAAAGGGTTGCGTCATGCCAAAAGCAGAATGGGAAGGGATGTAAGAGCAACACAATTGAGTAGAGGCAAAAAAAAAGAAGAAAAAAACAAGCAAGAGAGGGAATGGAAGACTAAAGAGTTTCAATATATTTTGGGGTGCTCTGGGAGAATCAAATAATGAAGTAGCCGTCATTAATTTGGCACGCCGAGCCAAAATCCCGAGGTCTCAGTGGAGAAGAGCCGGGACACGATCAGAAGACAGGAGACAAACACCAAACCCTCTCAATCCACTGGCCTCCGAGGACGGAAACATGAACCGGGGACTTAACTAAAACTCACCAAACAAACATGAATAAGTGTCAAGAAACGAATGAACACGAATAAACTAAAAATATAAGAATAAGCTGGCCCCGATAGCTGGGCCAACCCGTATATTTTGGAGAGGGAGCAGGTGAATAAGATGAGTGATAATTAGGGAGCAGGGAGGGAACGGCAAGTGAACAAAGTGAGTAATCAGACCAGCTCCCAGGCCTGCGGTCATGACTGTAGAAACAGAGACCCCAGAACTCCTCAAATTCTGCATAGCTCTGTAGTAAGACTACACCTATTAAGTACTTTAATAATCAATTCATCTATCAATTATTTTCTAAATGAATCAATGAATCTAAAAAGAGATATTTTTTTAGATTCAAATTTCTAAACAAACTAACATTTGAAATAAAGAAAAAAATATTAGTATTAAATTTGCTAATGCAATTGCAACTGGCAAAACCTTAAAAACATATGTTCAATTATGTAAATATATGAATAAAGAAACTATTTAAAGTTTAATTGAAAAATATATTCTATGTATATAAAAGTTTTTAGTTTATATCTGTAGAGCTTTGTCTTCATTGCAGCTTTAAGTAGGTTATTCTTTTAGCAAATTGTATGTTTTAGAGACTGTATGCCATTACAGTAGGGCAGTGATTCCCAGTATTTGTACGCCTAGTGGTCCATGAGTGCATTGCAAGGGGTACAGGACCTTGGCTCATCAAAGCAAGCTCAGGTGTCATGAATGTTGGAAAAAAAGTAAAACAAATGGAGTGAGTCTGATTATATTTTGTGTTCAGTATTTTGTTCCCACTTCCTCAAGTATAAGTGTGATTATAGGGGAGTTACTCAGAGGAGAAAAGCAGATTTATAGTATGATTTTATTTTGTATTTATTTTGATACATATTTATGTCATTTTTTTAAAATATGAGATGGAAATAAAATGAAAAAAAATTAAAAGCTCAAGTAAAAAGATTAAATAAAATACTCATTTTATAATTAGTTATTGTACGTCATGAATAATTTTGACTCATAGTAAGACAAAATGCCCAAAGGCGTACACAAGTCCAAAAAGGTTGGGACACACTGCTCTAGGTAAAGACTTACCAAGTGAGTGGACATATGTTTCAATCATCAAGTTATCTGAATAATGGTTTCAGCCCTATTCTATAGTGTATGTTGTGAAGAGGGCTAAAAGATCTGATTTTGGTTCTGATCACCCGAGGAAACATGGGGCGTTTCTCAATTCACGAGAACGCAAGTACGTACTCGCGTTCTCATCAAGTCCGTTCTTGGCGAGAACGCAGGAAGATCGGACTTGACGAGAACGCAACACGCAAGCACGTATGTGTATTGGAACAGAAGCGTACTCGTGACGTCATCACATGCAACGTTCTTTAGCATTTCTTTAACAGTCAAAACTATTTATTCCCTACACAAAATATTTTGAAAACAATATTTTTAATTTCTAAAGCTTAAAAAACGTTTTAAAAAATTACCGCAGTCAGATAA